GCAACCAACGGTTGAGTAGACAGGTGAATATTTATTCATCGAATGAACGTTAAAAAATTCATATGATAAAAATGCGATTGTGTGTTTGTGTTTGAGTCTCGGTGAAATAATAATTGAAATGCTTAATAAATTCTTCTATTTTGGGATCGATCCGAACTGTTTTGGCGCCATGAGATGCTCAAGCGCCTATTTGGAACTCTTTAGCTCCAATTCTTGAAAGCCGCTTGTGGTGCTGCAGGCCTTTTGTCTACCCTTTATAACCGCAAAATGGACTACGTCAAATCTACTATACACCTAATCACCTATTATGTGAAATCTTGATATTAATTTTCCATTAATTAAATTGGCTTTTCATTTATTAAATGGCATTTTAAAAAGCTTCATACTGAAATCCGATTAAATTGTAACAAAGTCGTTTCAAAGTTTTGTATTTGATTTATTGATCCGATCTAAGGTAAATCACCAAATGTTTTTGTTTTTGTTGTTGTTGTTGCTTCTTCAGTTTATTTCATTAAAGATGGGAAAAAAACCATATTCGATGCAATGTATGCCATTTAAACGGGAAATACAACCATTGTTGATACAACGCCAATCCGTTGTTTCCAGAGGGAACAAACACCCGTTTAGCAAAACAATAACATTGAATGGAAAGTTAAATAAAAAAAGTTCATATAAGTTCGAAAGACAGTAAAAAAGACACAATGAACTCAAAGAAGTTTTGTATTTCAAGATGACGCATTTGAAAAATGATTTGGTTTTCGTGCACATTCGATGTGAATGCCATGTGAAGCATAAATGATACGGGTTTTTGTTATTATATAAGGGTATGCTTTGATGTTTTCATGTTCGATTGGGAACGAGAGAGCGAAAGAAAGAAAGAAAAAAGACAGACAGAGAAACCAACTTCCAGTTTCAGTTGGTGATAATGAAAAATTAGTTTCACTGGCTTCAAACAATACAAAGTACAGTAAACAACAGTAAAAGTGTTACATTGGCTTAGATGTCAAAGTGAAAACAACAACGACCACAATAAAAACCAATAACATGCCCCGGTGTGTCGATAGTTCAGTTATCGAAAGAAGTGAAGGAGAAGCGAGAGAGATAGAGAAACACACGTACAATAATAATAATAATAATAATAATAATAATAATATTAAAAACATAATAAAACCTCCCGCAACTGGAATATTCGGTGGAACTGGTTTTTCGGTCAAATAGATAAAATACCTGCTCACGTCGTTAGGTTTGGGTAACAAAAATGGGCAAGTAGCGGTACTATCGCTTCTAAAGACAGAGGTCAGGTGGCGAAAAATATATTAACGGTGTGCGCCGTGCAAATGAGCGGGTGGGAGGAACAGAGATAGAAGAAAAAAGAGAAAGAAACAGAGAGAGTGAGTAAATGAGCCATCGGATAACAACATAAAACAACAATATTTTCCGGAACGGAAAAGAAACAAAAAACAACACCGATTTTTTTCTTCTCAATTTCAACATTTCAATTAGATATGGAGAAATGTGTAATTTAAAATTCAACAGCCAAAACCAAAATCCATAGCATGGTATCAATTTAATTGTGTCATACAATATATATATGTAAGTGTGTGTGTGTGTCCGAGTGTTACATTGGTTCACACACCGTGTGTATTTCCGAGTGTGTTGAAAGAATAGAAATTGGTTGCGATTACATCATCTCGACTGATTATAGATACTGTATAAATTGAAAAATCCATACGAAATATGTACCTGTCCTACATTATTTCCGATTGTCTATAATTTTGTTTATTTGGTCTCTCTCTCTCTCGCTCTATCTCTCGGTCTCTTTTTTATAATCCACCATACCAATCTTTCGTATTCATTTTCCACATTCAAATATTTATACGTAAATGACAATATTTTACATTTCATTTAGTTCAATCAGAAGGTGGAGCAGGCGGAGAAGAGAGAACAAGAGAGAAAGACAAGCAAGTTCTGATCACTGCTTTCTGCACGAGATTTCAATTATATAACACACACAAACACACATGTTGTTACATTAGCCAGCTTCAGTTCCATTACACCATTGTAATTGAGATCGACTTTAAATAGATTTCGATAATTTTCGCAACATTACAACGATTCAAAGACAACGAGTGTTACATGTAAAAATAAATGACCAAACAAGCAATAAACGCTCTCAACAATCAGTTTGTTCCAGTTTTCCCTTCACTCTCTCTCTCTCTCTTGATCCTTTTGTCTCTATTTCTGTTGTTGTTTTGTTTTCAAATTTCAGATCAATTCACATCCAAATTGGTTTGGCGTATTCAAATAAAAAAAAAAAATTTGCGATGCCACACTATTTAATTTATGTGTTCTGTATTTTTGGAAAAACTAGAGCGCAATCAAAATTAGTTAGCAGCCGATGATGAGATGATGAGTTGGCTTATAATAAAGTAACCGATGAGATATGGAATGTAAAAGAAACAGTTTGCATGTGAGATGTTTCCATCACGCCCCGAGGGGGAAAATTCCAAACATATGTAACAAAATGTCAATTGAGATTTGAATTGGAATTCGTTCCGAATGCAAACCAATATAGATGGCATGGATGGTGGTAACTTGTACAACTTCAGCATTATATACATCGTCAGCCATCCAAGCAACTGCCTTCTTTGATTGACATTCCTTTTCGATTGATGAATTATGCAAGAAAATTCGACTATATGTCGATATCCGGAATTGGGTCACAGAATTTCTTCCACGCTCATTGGAAAAATACCAAAACAGAAAAAAAATGTTGAAGTTACACCGATCTTATTAAGAGGAAAAAAACAATAACAGCTCCGTCCTCTTCTCATTTTAAAATTTTCATAATACACACGTAACAAAAACAACAATCAAAAGTCGAACACACGAAACAAGATTCGCCTCATTTCATCCAGTTCGACATGTAAACATGACAGGGAAATGAGAATAAGAAAAAAGAGAAAAATGAAGAAAAACCGACACACACACAACATCATTCTTTTATGAGTATACACGTTTTCAATAAACGAGCACTCCTGAATTATCTTTTTGATTTTTGTTTTTCTCGTGCGTTGCTACCTTTTTCATTCACTCACAATTATTTTGTTCTCTTTTTTCTTCTCTCCCGCTCATCTGGTGCGCTCACTGGATTATAGAATAATCAGTCTGACTGTTGGTTTCCGGTGCGTCTGGTTTTTCTTATGTGGATGTGCATGTTTTAATATTTGGTATCTGGTGTGAGCGAGCGCTTATGTTATTTTATTGTTTTTAGAAGGGACAAAGAGCGGAGCGCGATTGAAATATTCTTTTTTGTCACTCTTCCGTTTACAATATGTTCAGAGTACATTCAGAATTAAAGTGAAAAAGAGGAAGAGAGACAGAGAGAGATTGAAGGAATCTCATGAATTGGAATGTGAGCTCTGATGGGCATATGTTCTTGAAAATCACATTTCAACAAATTTTATGCAACTGGCAAATGGCAGATTATGTATGCGTATGTGTGACAAATGACAGTGTAAAAATTCGTAACAAAATATTTTCAGATGGCTTCTTGACTCATGCTGATTCATTAATCAGCACGGGGACATTGTGCAATATGTTTGTGCGTCCACTGACATAGACATTTGTCATTTATTGGCAACCATTTTTAAGTGTGTCGTCGGAGTTGGTGTTTTCTCTCTTTCCCTCTCACGGTTTATCACATGTTTCGACCACTGATTACAATAAAATTACATTTATTCTTCCTTTTAATGTTTGCGACTTTTGCACGCACATCCTTGAGTATCACATGTCCTCTGAGTCTATTTGTGATGGAAAATTTAACTGATCGATCATAGGATCTTGGTCATTTGGGACATTTTTTTTTCTTGTTCTTCAAATTGGAAATTATGACGAATGAAACCCATGCGTCGAAAAAATTCAATCGAAGAAGACATTGCGTTTTTAAGTAAAAAAAAATCCGATTTTGTTTTTTTCTCTGATTTTTTTTTTTAAAGTGCTCGATGTGGTCGGCATCATGATGATGAATGCGTGTGTATAATGCGTGGTGTATTTGACACATAACACACCCGCAAAGAAAGAAGGGCACATCAACCAACAGATAGAGTTCGAAAGAGAGAGATTAGGTGAGAAAAATGCTCGTCGATTTTCAGAAATACCAAAATCGTTCCAGCGAATCCGCGAGCAGCATGATTTTCTTCCTTTTTTCAACTTTCAATGCTTGCTCTCAGCCGTGTATTTTGTTCTCATTTCGGTTGGTCGTGCGTGTATGTACGTACGTATATTTTTTGTTCCTTCTTTCGGTTGCTGCTGTTGTTTTTCATCTTCAGAAATTGTAATAATTATATTGCCACACAAACAGAAAATCTCGCAATAATGCCGCATCTGAGAAAAAGATGCACCACATGTTTTCTGTTTATTTTGTTTTTCTTTTTTTTCCTCATTTGCATCTCCTCCGTGTTCGTTGTTGTTTTTTTTTTCGTTTAAATATTCGTTGAACTCCTATTTGTCGATGATTTTATCGTCAACAGCTCGGTGTTGTCAATTTGCTCTTTTTTTTCTTACGCATTTGCTTCACTTCGATTCTGTTTTCATTCCAACCATTCCATTTTATCCCTCGGTTGGATAGAGAGAAAAAATTGCATCGCACTGTGAGAGAATTGGTGGCTTGAACCACACCATCGCAGTGACGTGGACAAAAAACAAAAGAAGATGGCAGAAATTTTGAAAATGAAGGTCATTGCTATCGTATAGAAAATTAAAAAAAGCGAGTAAAACGAATGACAAAAAAATAACCATATCAAAATGAATTAAAACGCGTAAATAAAATGAGTGCAGCATGCGTGCACGCAATCAATATCCACTCACATCACGAGCACTGCTCTTCCATATTTTTATCGCATCACATTTTATTTCGGAACGAAGAATTTAATTTTATATTTCGATCAAAGTCATTTGCAGTTATATATAATCAATACATTTCCACATTGCTTACTTACCCAACTTTCAAGCCGCGGTCTGTCAAGTTTTGCCTTTGAATCTGTATACAACAAGAAATAAAACGAATTAAAAGGGTGAAGAAAAAACGGTGTGCAAGTATGAAACGTGTTACGAAAGAAGTTTATTGGTCGAACAATGAGAGAAATAATTTATTTCTATTTTGTATGATCGCAACAGCGTTTCGTTGCTGTGCAACATTTCATGCATTTTTCGCTTATTCTCTTCAAACAAATTTTATATTCTTTTTTTTTTTTTTTTTCAACGAAAAAACCCCGAACTGATATAGATACAGTCACCACATCGCCTCTGATATGATTCATCCGAATTGTGTAAATAGGTTTTATTTCGTCAAAACTTGACGCTTGTTGAACAGAAAAGCAAGACACCAAGAGCAAACAAAACTTCCGTATTGTCAAGCAAAATATTGACGGGTCATTTATCTCAACCCATATATACTGTTGACAAATTGATTCAGGTGTGCAAAATACTTTTAAAATGAAATTAAATACGAAGATGAAACACAACTAATCACTTAAAGTATCTTTATTTGCATTTCTATTGAGCAAACCATGTGTGCTTCGATTGTGGTGCGGTTGTATTAATTAATGAAGTAATCGTGAATTGAAAAGCAGAGAAATCTCCAAAAATGCAATGAGTAAAATGTGAAGTAAATTGAATTGTCATTTGGTATGTGTCATTTAACGCCGATTGATGTTCTTTAAACTATTGAATCGCGCAATCCGTTCCGAATGTTCTTTCCTTTCGGTTCTTTAAAATGATTATATGAGAAGGAACGTCTTAGGAAAGAGAGCGTTTTTTTACTTCGTTAGATGAGCCGAAACGAATGCGTCGACCAACAAGCAAACAGATAAATAGAGATAGAAACACTGAGCTTGATTGTGCGATAGATTGCGCACGAAAGAGATTGAAAATGAGCAAGAAACACAGTACCAAAATTGCTTCTTCACCGTTAAACAGCTGCAAACAAATGTCAAAACAACATTTAAAGAGCCGGATAATATGCATCATTTTCATTTATTATTACACTTTTTTTTATATGCCACTCGTATCTCGAGTGTGTTATTCATTAGTTTGCATTTGGTACATCACGGAAAATTAAAAAAGAAGAAAAAAGAACGATGAGATTTGATGGTTCCACTCGCGCCACATCACATATGAGTTTTAAAAATGCGGTTCGACAGTTAAAATGAAAAAGTTTAGCATGGAAAATGAATTAGAGAGGTGGCTAAATGACACATCACCTAGTATTCACAATTCGGTGAATGATCCGAACCATATTTTTTTTTTGGTTCACGGCATTTGTCATCCAAGAAAAATGATGTGCTTGGAGTTCAAAATGTTGCCGATGTTCCACTAAATCAATACCATTTTCTTGAGAGCATGTATGTGGAATATGTTTTTTAATTAAACTCCAAATGGTGGAAGAGAAACAACAGCAACAAAAAAAATTGAAGACGATAAAGAATTTGGAGATAAATTGATATGCGGAAAACCATTTGACAGTAATAACAACATCAAATGTACCATACCGTTTGAACGAAGAGGGAAAGGTTCATTGCATTTCCGAATGAAATAAATATCAACAACAGCATTATAATTACCGTTTCATTTCATATTTTTGTAACTATTTCATATTTTGTTTGTTTTTTTTTATCTTTTCCCCCTTCGATACACATTGAAATAAAAAAAATCCTATTTGCAAGACGCAACACACACATATACGGGCAAGAAAAGTAAAGAGAGAAAAAGTTGAATGAAAAAAAAAGAAACATTGTGAATCCAGTTTATGTTACGACATTATTCTCATTTGCTTTATCTGTGACGCATACTGTTGATGCATGTTTCTGTTTGGTTTTTGTGCATTGCACTCTTTCGATGTCGAACATTTTTTTTGATGAAGAAGCTGAAAAGAAAAATTACACACACACGGAGCAAGTAAGAGATTCGGTTGTGCGCCATTTGCTCATTCAATTCCGGAAATCTTTGAGCGTGTGGATATGAGATTCAGTCGAATATTGGAATGTATTCGAGTATGTGGCTCAACACGTTTGACACTACAATGATGAAATGTGCGTGGCACAGAACACAATACAACAACAACAACAGCCGTATAACAACAACAAAAAAAACTGTAAAAAGATGAAAACGCGGTAATTGCTTGCTGAATGAACTGATTCTTTCACATGTGCATGAGCATGCGAACGAGCGTGAAAAACCTACGAAATATGAATTTCCGTTTCAATAAAATATATTTCAATAAAAGTGTGAGTGCCGTGGAAATTTCTAAGCATCAACGACACACATTGAAAATGACAGTAATCCTTTTGTGATGTGATTGAATATATCACAACATTACGAATGGGATCAATGCAAAAGTGTCGACCATGGATTTGCGTTGGATTGAATTTTAATGCGAGCAATCGAAAGGAGGACCGTATATTTAAATCGGACAAAACTAGGCAAGTTTGAATCGACAGCGCTCAACGAGATCAGTATTTTTCATCGAACATGCGTCCGAAGAATAAAAAAAAAATCCAAAAATGCGATGGAACTATGTAACAAACAAATCCCCCGCAAATGAATGTATCTCGCACCGGGCGACATTCACATGTATTTCAATGAATTAATGTATGTGGCATGAAAACAAAGCGACGATTTGAAAGCATTACACGTTTGTATGTAATCAAAGAAAACGAGAGAGAGAGAGAGAGAGAGAGAGAGAGAGAGAGAGAGAGAGAGAGAGGGAGAGAGAGAGTATATGAGAGACTGATGGATTTCGGCTAATACGATGAACGCATTGAGAAAATATTCAAAATGTGGTAGCAATATACACACGACCGCATTTGATAAACAAATTTTGACTATAATCTGTGTATGCGCGTGTGATTTTTTTCCCCGGCAATGTGGATCAAACCGAGAAAATATACAAAACTTTGTCGAACTAAATGAAAAATCGTATATGATCGCCGAGCGATGCGAGTGAAAAAAACGAACACCGTCATCATTCAGTGAGGTAATTGCAATGGATGAGTCAAATGCAAGACACACATACACACCGATAACGTAATTGTGCGACGCAACACATTCACAGCAACGATTGATGGTTTCCAATCCTTTTGTATCGCGTTGGCTTCTCTCTTTTTTCCACATTAAACCCGAGATTTTGTGTGTCGGGTTGCCGATGATCTGTTCGTTTATACAACTGAAAATGCTCGCTCTTCAAAATATCATATTCTCATCTCTTTTTAATGTATCGTTTGGTGTCGAGAGCGCTCAGCGCTCACACACTATGGCACACAGCGCGCATCATAATGTATACAAATCAAATGAAAATCACCAAACGAAAAATATGTACATATTTGAGAGAATTTTCATTCCTCTCTCCTCGCTCTGTGTGTCATCTTCTCTATTTTTTAAAGAAAAAAAAATGCCTTTTCCACTTCTTGTTGTTGTTTGTTTTTTTTTTAACGGTAAGTTTTTTTTACTGACTTTGTCGCCATTGTTGCTGCCACCGAAAAATAAGAATATTATAATGTTTAAAATTGCGGTTGCTGGCGAACGGTACGAGATTCGATAGCGTACACGGGCATTATGTAGAAAGTGATGAAAATGCTCCCGTCTTAGTCGTCACATAAACCTAGCTTTAGCAAAATTTACTTTTAAAACACACGCCAAGATTTTTCATTCGTTCATTTTTCTTTCCCTTTTTTTTCATCGCTCACTTTTTTCGGCTGCTGCTGCTTGTTAATGTTTTTGTATTGCAGCAACAACAAGAGGTGCGAGGAGCAAGCATACTTGATCATCACAAACGAATGAATGATCAAACTAAAAGCAAGAGGAGGCACACACACAAAATACACAACATAAGCAATTTATCGCAAACGCGTCGAACATTATTTGAAAATGTACCATACAATTCGATGAAAATTCGAATCCGCGCACGTACATTTTAATGCATATACAAATAATTGAATGTTTTCATTTAGACTAAAAAATGTTCGCTTTTTCGCCCTCACGCTTCGCTGCTTGCTTCTCTCCCACTTCTCTTTCTCTCGGTCATCTCATGCTCCCGTTTGATATTAATTGTGTGTGCGCATTTTTTTGTTCGTGAATATACAGAACGAATACCAAAGAGCATAAAAGAGATGAAAAATTGTATGCGCCTTTGTGTCAGTTATTGTGCACGGTCTTGAGCTCGGGCATTAGAAACATTTTAATAATTTCAAATATTTTGCGAAAAATGAAGATGTGAAATCCACAAACGAAAAGTACACCAACACAATGTCATCAGAGCGATGATTGAGAAAAAAATTTGGTGAACGTTTCTCCATTTCAATTTGTAAAATCATTGAAATTGAAATGGAAAAGAATTCAAGAATGAAAATATTACGGTTGCCATTCAACAAATAAAAAAAATCAAAGTTGCAAATTCGCAGCACAAGCTGCGTCGCGACAACATTCCCACTACAATACTTGTTTTGCACAGCTTAGAAGAAAATCCCATATTCGGTCATTTAATTCAGCACGAGTTTGGGGGGAGGGGGTGGCTTGTACTATTCAAGGTGTACATTCATTCTTCACTCACTCTCATTCAGTCTCTGTGCTTCTGGCATCGAACCCTTATCGAATCCCAAATCTTTGGAATTTGAATTATTTTTTTATGACCAAAAATTTGATTGAATGATTTTGTCTTCACTACATTTTGTTTTGCAAACAAAAGCGAACGTTTTTTTTGTTGATAAGATACGCGTGTGGGCGCGGTGGTTAAGATGGTTTTCACTTATGGAAACAATGAAAATATCAAAAATATTTGCGATAATTTTTACCGATGCCACGACAGATGGACAGATGTGTTAGTTGACAGGTAATGTGTGATAAAACAAGGCGATTTCACCCTCTATCTATCTGTGTGCTCTAAAAAAAGTCACAACACACCAGATTTTACTCTCATTCGATTTGAACGTAAAACAAACAAACAAACAAACAAAAAATCAATGAAATTTTGCGAGTTATATTTAC